CAATTGAACCCTAATATCTATGTTAGAACCGTGTTTTCAAAATCCAATTCATAATTCCCAAATTGAATCTCGTGGGTTGTACATGTACGCTAGCTCATCTGTACCGGTATTCGGGGAATCGAGTATCGATATTGGTTGCGTAAGGTACAATAATTGCACACTGTTATTTATTTCATATATGTGTACCAGTACTCTAGTAAATCATACCAGTACGATATGTTTGAATTATATAATTTTGTTTTAATACAATTATCATGCCATTCACCATTTTAATAATGTTGTTTTTTTTTTGTTTTTTTAGATATAGATTTTTTTGAGATGGTTTATAATGAAAATACTAAAATTTAAATTATAGAGTTGGACTGTTATAATCAGGATGAAGATGGTTATAATTAGGATAAAGATGGATACAACAGTGAATCAGATTGTGAAACTTATATTAAAGAAGAACAAACTGATTATCCTATTGATGACGACAAACATATATATGATGAGAAGACAATTGTCAACTTCATTGACGAAAGCATATGTAATAAAATTGGGAAAGGATTAAAAGATTACGATGAGAATGATATGAATATGCTGAAGTGGAAGACTTTAGATGATTGCATTGAATTTTTTCATACATAAGCGAAAGTGAAAGGTTTTAGAGTTCGAGTCAACCAGACATTGAAAAGTCAAAATGGTGGTCACATAATTGCAAAGAAAATGGTGTATTGTAAGGAGGGAAATAGAGAGGAAATATGGACTAACCTTTGAAATAGAAAACATGAACAAAGACTGACCATCAAAGTTAGATTTGGAGTATTTATTAGATTTAAATTGGACGAACGATATCAATATTGGAAATTAAATTCCACGCAGAATGTAACCATGAAATTGCTTAACTAACTCAAGTTGCTTACATCAGGTCTGCAATTCATCTAAAAGTAAATGGTTACCTACTAACTTTTATCTTATATATATATATATATAATGTTCTTTAATAATTTATTTTGTAGGTCATTATGAAAAATTAATGGGTTAAACAAAATTAAAATTAAGAGCATGCACAACTCTAGAATTGCTCATAATAAGATGATGTGAAATTTGGTGAATAAAGTTGTTTCAATTGAGAATGTTAGATTTATACCGAAGGATTTGTACAACTATTAATATAGAATCAAATAAGAAGTGCAAGATGGTGATGCTGAAACGATGATGTCGTATTTATATGGAAAGCAAAAATCTGATCTTTTTTTTGTGAGACACACAATGAATAAATTCGAAAACTTAGAGAAGTTATTATGGTCCGATGGTATATAACGTACCAACTATAAAGAATTCGTCATGTCATTGCATTTGATACAACTTACATGTACAACACATACAACAAATCATCGTCGAAACATAGTGTCATTTAGATGTGCGTTGGTTGTGAATGAGAAAGAGGATACATTTGTGTGGGTGCTACAACAATTGATTGAAGCGAAAGATGACCACAAACCTCTTACTGCTATTATTGATAGAGATAAGGCCACGGTAAATGCCTTTGTTGGCAACTTTAAAACGTAATGTAGCCCAAGTATATACGAGATATTTTTTTATATACTGTGCAAAGAAATATCCTACGAGGGTTATATGGTTATAAAAATGGAAGTACAAAATGAGTGAATGTGTTATTAGTTACAACATATTGAAAAGGATAAGTTGTATCTTTTACTTAAAGATATCACACATGATACCATGTACTGTTGTTGTATGAAGTTGGAGTTCGTTGGTTTTCCATGTCGTCATATTTTTTTACCGTGTTGAAATATGAAAATAAATAAATAAATAACTCAAATGACAAAGACAAAAATCATAAACTAAAAATAATGTGATCCCTAGCCCATAAATTATTTTTTACTTGAAAGGACAGAGATTGATATAACTTATTTTGCATAGCTCTTCTCTCAAGTGTAAATCGTACATATGGAGATTGATAAATTGTCAAATATTTAAAAACAATACAAACACTTGTATTAATAACAAACAAAATAATAAATATTGATCATGTAAAAGATTTAATAGTCTAATCTATAATACCCAATCAGATAACTATTTTTCTAGAAAAATAGTACGAGCATTGTTAACGTCCAAATTATTACACATATATCATACCAGTATGTAATTGCATCATCTACGTTAAATTTAGAAGGCGTTAAATTTAGATCCATCATCTACGTTAAAAAGGAAAAATCTAAACTTGCATGTAATTGCATTAACAAAATTGTACAATTCAAACATATCATACCAGTACACTTTACTAGAGTGCCGGTACACATATATGAAATAAATAACATTGTGATATTATTGTACCCGTACATAACTAGCACCAATACTCAATTGCCCGCGTACCGGTACACATGAGCCAACATATCGGTAAGACCTGCGAGATTCAATTTGAGAATTCAGAATTGGATTTGAAAAATACGGTTCTAACATAGAAATTAGGGTTCAATTATTAGAATTGGGGTTATAATGTGGGAATTATAGTACTTAATTAGGGAATTTGGGTTTTATAATTGACCTAATTAGAAAATTAGGGTCAGGGTTATGGTCAGGGTTTAGGAATTAGAGGAATTGAGGAAGTCGGAATGAGATGGCGGCCGCCCCACACCGACAGTCGCGATCACTACCAGTGAAGGCACCGACAGTCGATGAGGTGGTACTCGTCGGTGACGGCTTGGACAACTGCCCAAGTCTGAAACAAAATACAAAAAATAAAGCTTACCTTATCGGGGCGGTCGATCTCGAATGACGGTGAAGGACGGCTGGTCTCGAACGACAACCACGTAGGGAGGGAAGAACGATGATGACTATCTCGTTGGCAGAAGATGTTACCGGCGATGGCGGCGGGAGCTTTAAAGCTATGAAAAAATAGGGTTTTTTTAATTTAGAGGTTAGCATTTGATCTAATTATTATTAAAAGTAAGATTATAAAAAATAATGTAATTAGTATTGTATTTTAAATAATTTATGTTAAGATTTTTAACTAATTATAATTATACGTTGAGTAATTTATAATTTTAAAGTTTTATAAATTAAATTAATAATATTCATGTTAGTGATGCTCATAAATACTCGTCGAACGTAATAAAATTTCAATTATTAAACTTAATTGATCCACAAGTCAAGAAAATATATAAAAATTTTAAATTTTATATTATATAATTGTATCCTAACCTATTTTTATTTGTTCAAATAAGTGGATCGGGTGCCACAATTTGAAACAATAAATTAATTTTTGACATTAGACAGCCTAGGGATTTCTTTAACAATATTAATGATTTTGGCTGAACCATAATATGAATATTTAAATTTTCAATTTATCAGATGATACCTAAATTACCGAATTGATTAGAAAAATGTTTGATCTCTCAAAAGACAAGGGAATCCCTGCAAACAAGATTCTCTATAATCTATAATTAAATGTCAACGGGATGTCTCCCGTACGGCAGCTTAATATACGGATAAAGAAATGCGCTACTGGAATTATTATTGTTTTTTTAATATTTTTGATAAAACACTACTTAATACATTATTTTTTTCTACCGAAAATGTTAATATTAAACACTACCTAAAATATATTTTTTTTTCTACCGATTTTTCTACCTAAATGTGAATATCTTTTAACTTTATCGACTATTTGTTTTTACTAAAACGTTTTTTTTAGTTTAATTTTTATAATTAGGACTTAAAAGAGATTTTTTAAGTTTCTTTTGGGTTCGCTTTACCTCCATTTTAAGGTGCGTAAGGTGCACTAATACAGCAGAGATGAGGTTGAAGGGTCTAATTGTGCTTTTAGGGCTCTCACTATGTTGAAATTTGATAATTAATTCTTTTACTTTGTTATTTGGTTATACAATCAATGCAACATATAGATTCATTTTTTTTATTAAGCTAATATGATTACAAAGTAGTATATGTTCTTAATGCTCTCAACCTTTTGACAATGAACGCTCAATCACCTTGCTGCAGTCGTCGGTGCTCGAACCCGTGACCTCTAAGAACAACAACGATTTCCTTTAACTATTGAAATAAGTTGGTCGTGCTATAGATCCATTTTTTATGTTGAAATAAGAATTATAAATTCTATAATTGTTTGGAAGTATGGGAAAGATGTAAGCGTAGAATAAGACACATACCATATATGATATTTAATGTGATTTGACCTTATATATCTCCACGTATGAAAGTATGGATCAGATATATGCCAAATTAAAATTGAGTGATTATATTTAAATATTCAATATTACAAGGGATTAAAACTAAATTAAACCAAGACGAAGCTAATGAAATATTCAACGGCGCGCGTACACAATTATTGAAAGAGACAATCACTGTCAGGCCTCTAGGTTTCAAGTGCTAATAAATTATTTTCTTACCAATGCACTAATAAAAAAAGAAAAAAATATTGATATATTTAATATTTATATTAAATTCAAGAAGAGATATATGTTTAATATTTAAATTTAAATAATATTATTATTTATTTAAATTTAAATATTAAAAGAGTTTTGGTTAGAGTAAAACTATTAGATTCAATATTATAAACTTAAAATATAATACTGAGCAATCTTTTTAATTTTTTATATCTCAGAATTCAAAAAATATTCTTTTATTGAAAAATATTTTCTCTTAGAAAAGTTCGGCCGAATTAAAGAACTGCGTCACGACATATCTCAACTAATATTGATTACAATATCAAATTTAAATAGTATTTTATTTCATTTTGATTCTATTTTATTTATAAAGAATTTTGTTATTTCTTCTCTTTTTTTTCAATTTCTATTATTATCTCGAATTGTTACTCTCCTATAACAAAGAAAATTAGGTAAGTAATTCTAAGTAATAGCAAAAGAGTATAGAATCAATGTATATAGATATAAAGATATACATATCTGCAAATAAATCTGCACAGAATCTGATCCAGCGATGCAATAATTACTCAAATTTCTTTTCTGAAACAGCTTAAAAAGGGCAATCTCCGTCTCTGATTCTCTTCCGATTGTGCTGGGAATTTTACAAAGATGAGCAGCAGTTATTGTGGAGAACCCAACATGGGAAACGAAAGGGGAGGAGGAGGTTCTTCGAGGAAAGTCAAGAAGAGTAACTCAGACAAGCCTAAGCAACCCCAGAGAGGGCTCGGTGTTGCTCAGTTGGAGAAGATTAGATTGCATGAACAAATGGGTTGTGCTTATCATCCTTCACTCTTCAACCAGGTAAAAACCAGACCATATTTCTAGGTTATTTCATCAGATTCAGATTTGTTCGTGGGAGGGATTCGATGAAGTGAAGTTGTTTCTTTAAATACATGTAGGAAGATACGAGACAGCAACACACTGCAGCAGCTCATTCATCTATGGTGTCATCTCCTTCGTTTTCGTATTCATCATCTTCATCAACTTCCTCAGCTTCTTATGGTTTCCACCCCAGCATAATGGTAGGTGAATTTCTTCTTATTTTAATTGAGTGCTTCTTTGACATGATTTTCCCTGTGTCTCCCATTATAGGGGTGATAAACCATGGCATACATGATGTTTGGTGGATCCTTTTGAATCATGTTGTGCTTACTTGTTGGTTTGCTAACCCTAGATGCTAGTTTCCCCAATAAACTTAATATTCATTGCTACCCTTTCAATTATGTTATCCAAATTTTACTTAATCTAATTTAAAAAATTCACAGTATAATTTATTTGGTAAATAAATGAAATAGGAAGAAAAATTTAGGGACATAAAATGGGAAGAAAATTTAAGGACATGTAGAGACAGATAAAAATCTAAGGATTTGGATTAGAAATAAGTCGATTAAGCCTCGAATCAATGTATAGCGATAATTGTATGCTATTCCTGTTTTTGACATTCATGAAATTTCTTTTTCTTTGTCCGTGATTTTTTCGCTTAGAGCTTTTCACATAAAATCTTGATGTAATTAGGGTCAGATACATGTTTTTATGGTAAGCAGTTGAACTTTTAAAATTTAAAGGGGAGATGAACTTATAAAAGTCTACTGCCCCTCGACCGCTTCCCGCCTCAATCCGATATCCTTGGATGTAACTTCTTTTGTTATTCTTATTTAGAGATGTGTAAAGGGAAGTAATCATAAACGGTAAGAATTTAGGTTAGAAGTAAGCCCATTAAGACTGTAATTTCTCATCTGTTGCCCGTGATTTTTTTCCACTTAGAGTTTTATATGTAAAATCTTGATATATATTCTTCTATTTTGCGATCGTATATACTGTCATTATTTTTGTATAGTATAACAAACCCCACTATTGAACACAAATCAATGTTGATTATATTGGTGAATAGGAGTGTTGCAATTGATTGCTTATGATTTTCACCTAATATTACAGATGGGACTAGGAGAATATGATCAGAGAGCAAACATCAGTTTTGGTGATTCTCAACCTAGTACAGCAGCAAGGTTCGTATATATACATATATATAGTTAACTTTCCAGTTTCTTCCCACAAGCATGTAATTAACGTTTCCAATTCATTTTGTAACACAGTTGGAACCCCTGCAGTGGCATCTTAGACAGCCACCATTATGCGCAACCAAACATGACCAGACAGCTTCTAAATGTTGAGGTGCCATACACACACCATTATGCATATATATTCAGTAATTTGCATCTACTTAAAAGTTAAAAATTTGATTCTTTTACCTATATATCTTCAGGATTTACAGCCCAAAAGGAGCAAGAAACATAGGAGCAGTTCATTAGGATCCAGTAGCCAGAATTCTGAAACAAGTGAAACGCAGGAGCTAGAATTGGAGCTCAGGTTATCACTGTAGAATCAGTAGTATTTCTGCAGATTTTACTGCATCCTATGCTTCCTGCCTTAGAATTGTACGTTTTTGTTCCTGCAATTCGCATGCAACTTGATCAAGTCGATGAACTTGTTTTGAATTTTCATTTGGAAATGAATATTGTAAATTTTTTCAAGGAAATTCCAATGGTCAATCCAATTAGTCCTATTGTTCAAGAGTCAAAGTGGGGATTAAAGGTTTCTCAATCAAGATACATGAATTTACTATGTAGCAATTAGCACCAAACAACACATCACTTCACGGTCAATATTAGCTGCTTTTGTCTTCACACAATGAAATGAAACTTAAGACCAAACCACTAACTAAGCTAGTGTTTTGTCAGACAAGAAAAAGCATCTCTCTTTTGCTTAAACAAAAGCCCTTGATATACTTCAGTTTTAGCATTATTTAGAAAATAAATAAGTTAATCAAATAAATATTGTACCGTAAAGAACCATTATCTTAAAAGTGAATTTACCATTACTGATGTAATGGAAAATGTACGTCGTTAACACAATATTTTCAAATTTATGCATACACCCAAATGAAGAAGATACAATTCAAGAAAATTACTCTTTTTGTCGAATGAGAAAAAGGTAAGAAAGAGGAAGAAGCAACTAAAACGGTGAAAATTCCGAACAGAAGAGAAAGAGAGAGCCGAATGCTTGGGTTGTGATTTGCAAACAAGGAAGGTTTGCGTTTTATAATAGAAACGGAGGAGTATTCTTGTCCAAAGAAGAATAAACTATTCCACTGTTATCTAATACAACATCGTCTCCAAGAGTTTTAAATAAAAATCAACTAAAACGATTTGTTGTGCACGAATCAGGTAAACAACACGTATGTAAATGAACATTTTCTCTTACTACTTGACGAGAATTAACTCAGTACACTATATTTAAACCTTATAAAAGCTCAAGCTATAAACTATGCATGTGAATATGGTCAAAAATCAAGATATACATGCGTGAAGAAAATTAGGGTTTATGTTATGTGATCTTCGCTCTCTTTTGCTGAGCTAAAACTTGGGATTTATTTTATCAAGTGTTATACTATTAGCTGAAATTGATTGGCTCTGATCTCAATTCATCTGTATGTTTGCCATTACATGAAAGAGAGCAGTGCATTACAAGTGATCTGGACTGCTTTCACTGTGCATAAAGTTGCTTGCTTTCAAACATTTTATAGTGTAAAAGCCCCCTAGAAACAGCTGTATTAATCATTCAAAAAAATATTATTCCTATCAATAAGCTTCTTTTTCTGTAATACGTAATCGCTCTGTTCGTTTTTAACTGCAATTGCTTTGTAAAATGATTAATCGTACAATTATTTAAACTCCCAGTCGTCATCTCTGATTATGTACATATGGGCTTGTTTTACATGTTCTTTTTCATTTAAGAAAACTATCATTGTAGCACTAGTTTTTATTCTATTATAGCTTATACATGGACGAAGCAGGAAAATTTGTATTCTTACTCCTTTTAAAATTTAATTAATATTTTTAGTATAAAAGCAAATTTTTTAATTCTTTTAAAATTGAATAATTTAATTAATATTTTTATCATAAAAGTTCTAACTTCGACTCCCATAAAATTTTATAATTATGTTTTAACTCAAAATATAACTTGTCACAAGGGAATGACGAATTCCATGAAATATAATAAATAATTTAAAATCATCTTAGGATAAGAAAGAATTTGCAAAAAAACCAAATTGAATAAAATGCAAGTTAAGAGACTAAATTAAAAAAAAATAGTGCATTTGTTGTGAAAAATAGGAATTAGAGTTACATAGGTATTCTATAGTGGTGGAGGAGCACATAGTTCAAATTTGGTAAAATTGGACTTAAAATGAAGGTGTAATTGAAGAAATGAGGAAATCATTCAAAGTTGAGGGACTAAATTGAAAACTATGAAATTTATTGTCAATAAGAGGAGTTGAAGATACATAGATATTCTACAATGGTTTAGGAGCATGTGGGTCAAATTTGGTAAAAAAAAATGAATCAAATTGCAAAAATGTCAATTACTTAGCTAAATTTTCTATTTTAAGGTTGAATCGAACTTTACAAATTTAAACTTGGCTCAAACTCGAAATTCGAATTCAGAATTCAAGTTGACACGATAACTCAAAATTCAAATTTTTTTAGTCGAATCGTGTTTTGCTTGCCCCTATGTGTAACAAATATAGGAATAAAAGTAAATTATCATGTGATATGTATGGGTTAATTATGCATGCTTACATTAACAGGCCAAGGGATGTCAGTTGCTATATGTGATAATAGGAAAATAAGCATGTTAGATGCTATATTGTGCTTTTGAAGAGCTTGTTATGGAACAACTTTTAAAATATTTCCTTACGTGAAATGGCTTCGTTACCAGAAAAAATCCTTAGTTTGAAGAGGTTTTCAAAGCAGAAGGTGAAAAAACTAGGAAAAGAAGCCCAAGTTTTAGAGGAGAAGGATCTGATGAAGAGCATGAGCTCTGCAGCTTGCATACCAGAGGTCTTGTGCACCTGTGCTGACCAAACGCATGCTGGAATGCTATTAAATACCTTCCTTGTCTGCCCGTTGTCTTCTATACTTCGCACTCCTCTAGATGAACACGGTTCTGTGCTGCATCTGTTGTTACCTCTTTAGAAGACCTACACGAGGTCGGTTTGTAGAAGCAGTAGTTTTCTTCCACATCATTTCCTCAATTCCTTGTGTATATGCTATTTATTTCAATTCATCTCTCAACATCCATTTTTCATATGAATTTCAGAATGGCGTCCTTTACAGAGGAGTGTCTCCAGATGTTTTGATGTTGGACAAAACTGGCCATTTACAGGTTGGTATTAGTGTATGCTGTGTTATAGTTTTTGTTTACACATAAGGGAAGGTTTCCCCTCTCTCTTGTATGTACGAAGGGTGGCAAGCCAGAAGGAGCTGAGTTTAATTGTTTTATTATGTTGTAGCTAGTTGATTTCAGATTTGGGAAGAAGTTATCTAGCGGGCGAACATTTACAATTTGCCATTTCTTGAATACCTCATAGCAATCATGGAATTCCTCACATGAAAATGATCTTTCAGTTGCTTCAAGTGAAGCCATGGTTCCATTAACATTAAAAATCATCCGTGGTTTAATGGTGTTGACTGGGAAGGAATCAGAGACCAAAGCTTTCCCCTTCCTCATGAGTTATAGCTCCACATTTAGAAACTCGTAGTGAGGAGTGCCCTGTTTCTGTTACTTCCCCGCCCCAAGATATAGCAGAGCTCAACGTTCAGGAGTGGTAGAAGAACGATCTATGTAGTTATTCCTCCGGTCTACATTTCCTCCAACGGTTTGCTTGTCCCTATCAATTTAGCTCTAACCCTCATTTTTTATTTAAATGCTTTTTATGTCCCTATCAATTTTGATATTAGGCAGAATAACAATATCCAATTTTGTTATAATTTTTTTTACATAAAATAATCATATCAGTACTTAATAATAACAGCTAATAATTAGCAATTTGGACCTACTAATAAATTATAAAAGGAGATGACCGAATCATACCAAATTAAAATAGAAGAACTAAATCTCAAAATTTAGCATAGTAGAGAGACTAAAATAATAATTATACCCTTAACAAACTACAAAATAATTTAAAAAAAAGGGGGAATGGATAAATATACCTGTCATTTTCTATGTATGTTTTTGGAGATATGTGTTTTACAAAAATAAATAAATATAATATGTAAGAAATAAAACATGGACTTTTTTGTGTAAAATCAGGGAAAATGAAATTGAAAAGGAAATTTTCTAAGTGTATTATATTGAAATTATGCACAAATTGCAATGACATAAATGAAATTTTCTTCATCCAATCAGCATATTCAGACATCTAAATGCTGGGATTGTTGAGACCTCCTTTTCTCTTTGTTGGCAAACCATTGAATTGTTCTTGTTGCGATTGGCAACCAAACCCTCCTTGTTCTTCCCTCCTTTGTATAGTTTTCAGACAATGAGCTCCGACATGTTCCATTCCTCGTGCTAACGACGTCTCGAAACCTCGACAGAGCGGTGATTTCCGACATCGATCTTTTCTCACCTTGATTAACAACCACCCTTGATGTTGCATGTGTACTTGTACTTGGTTCACAAATTGGATTGCTTTTGTTGAATTTGTTCTCAAACAATCTTTTAATCTCCAACTCTTTCTTGATCTTCGAAATCTCGTCATTTCCGATCGGTTTCGGAAACTGTCCGTATTCATCGGTTTCGATGGAAGAAAATCGGTTGCTCGACATATCATTAAGCATTTCGGCATTCAAGAACATAAGGTCTGATGAACTCACACTGCTCCATCTGTTCTTCATTACTACATCAGATACAATGATCCTATGGTTGAACTTATGAAAGATCTTCCCTCTGTCTTCGTCGTCGTTATCGGATTCTTCTTCTTGAATTAGAACTTGGTTTTCGATGTAACGGTCTTCGGTTTTCCGGAAACTACTTCCGATGCTGAATCTGGACGAGCCATGACCGTTGTCTTGCTCTCTTTGGACATAAAGCTCTATGTTTGAATCCTCTCTTAAAGACTGATTCCTTGAGAACCGCATGCTGTTTGTGTATGTAAACATTGTTAAGTCCTCGGTGTTGACTTTTTGCCTGCAAAGAGGGCAGCTTGAATGTTTCTCAAGCCATTTATCAATGCAATCAAAATGGAAGCCATGTTTGCACTTTGGCAACAGCCTCACGATTTCGACATCTTCGAATTTCGATAAGCAAACCGCGCATTCAAGCCCTTGTTTCGATCCCCTAAGCGACAAGAACCGAAAGAGTGGAAGTGATTCGATAACTTTCTTGTCAATCCCGGAAAATCGAGACCTCGTCAGATGGAGCATACCGGGGTGATGATCACCCTGGACCGCACTAGCACCCCTGTTACAGAGCCTGGCATAGATGAGTAGGAAAACTGTCAAGGCAAACATGACACAGAGGATACCTATGACAACAGCTAGGCTCGGTCGGAAATTCGAGACGGCATCTCCCGAACTTGTTAAATCAGGAGATTGTGCATCGACCGCAAGAATTGGAAGGGAAAGAACTATACTAATCGACACCAATAACCGATTCATCGATCAATAGCTTGTGCAATCTCAGAATTCCCAGAATTCTATATCTTTCTTGCATGCATTTGAGCTAGCAAAAGATGAACTTTTAAGTAGTACAATGGAGCTGGTAGTTTTATATTTGCATATATAACTGCCCCCAAAAGGGTACCTTTCAAGTTTGTCAGTTTCTTTGCTTTCCCTTTAGGCTGCTATATATATATATATATATATATATATATATATGCAAAAGCTGACCCTTATTATCTGGGTGTGCTTTGTTTTCTTTGGAAGCAAGTATATACCTTGCAAGAAATATATCTTATATCATCCATGATAACAAATTTTGTAACCTTTTAGCTTTCCAATTGGACAGATTCCATTGAAGATTATGAGAGGCCAGCCATTTGTGTGTTTTATATCTATCACGAAATCATTATTATTTTTAATTAAATTATTTTTGCCTAGAATGAAAACCGAATTTAATTGAATTGAGTTTTAAATTAATTGAATTACATAGGATAAATTAAATTACTTAAGTAAAAATCAAGTTCAATTGAAATTTTAATTAATTACATTGAAGAGGACCTAATCGAATTGTTTAGGATAATTATTGAGTTGAATTAAAACTTGGATTAATTGAATTAAACAAGGGCCTAATTAAATAGAGTAAAAGAGTAGTAACCTAAATTATAGTGATCAAGTTGAATTAAAATGCAAATATTATTATTGCATGCTAAAACTTCAAATTCCTATAATTGCCCTTGAATAGTTGGTTACTTAAGTACTAAGATAGGCTAAATTGGGCATTTCCACCTCCATTAAGGATGAAAAATATCATCCTTCCCATCTCATTTGGTGACCGACCTAAGAAAGAAAAATTAGAGAGAATTAAGAGAGAAAACAAACAAGGAGACCGGCCATGCAAGCTTAGTTCAAGCTTGAATTAACTAGGGAAATTACATAGCCTAACAAGTAAGTCTTTCCTTCTTTATTTCCATTCGAAATTTTAAGGATTTAATTGAATTAATTCTTGAGAAATTGATAAGTTTGATTATTGAAATAAATTCAAATTGTTGGCTTGCATGATACTAGAGATTTTGGTGATCATGTTGAGTTAAATTTAAGTGATCAAGAACCTTGTTAAGTTGGGTAAATTATGTGTTATCATCTCAAGGGTGATAACCGAAATAATTGTTCGCGCATGTGACCCAATTGAGAAATTCGAAAGGTTGTGTACTAAATTGGAAATATATATGTAGGATAAAGTTTCTGAAATTTTCAATTTACTGAAGAATTAAGATTCAAACAAGAGCAAATGCTGTAAAATTTTAAGAATTTGGATGTAGAGTGAAACTAGTCACAATTGTTGCTATAGATCGATTAAGGATTGTTTTGATCAAGTTAAGGAAATTCGGGATCAAATTGGACATAATTAAAGATTGGTAATGTTAGCTAAAATCAGGGTAGAAACTGAAAAGAATGTAAAATAAATTGTAAGGCTTAATTTAGAGAGGAATTGGTAGTTGTAAATGGTACAATAGTAAAATAGGTAAAACTGGACTGTTCTGGAAAATCTATTAATTAGAGGACTTAATTAGAATATTAAAGGCTAAGGTTGATATGAAAATGTAGGGTCAGGATAAAAATAAGCAATGGTAAGAAGAGCTAAAACAAATTGATAAGAATTCTAGGTGAATTAGCTCACCAAAGTACATCGAATTGCAATAGTGATAGATTGGTCACTGGAAAATTGTCTAACTTCAAATGTAAAACTATAATTGTATATTAAAATA